CACACCCACAGTCAGAGCCGTGCGTCCTCAGTCAGAGGACAGGCTCCTCATCAGGCGCCGGGCTGACCAGAGAGAGGAGCGTCCTCCGTGCTGGGCCATGAGCACAAGGCTGCACGCTGCTCACACCACCGAGGAAGTGCCAGCCCAGGGGGCTGAGGATCACACTGTTTCTGTTGCCTGGCGGGTGTGACGCGGTGGTTGAGCATCGACCCATGAACCCAGAGGTCTCTGGTTCTATTCCCGGTCAGGGCACATGACGGAGGCAGCCGATGGATGATGTTTCTCTCAATCAATGTTTCTATTTCTCTATCCCTCTCCCTTCTCTCTCTCACTCTCTCTAAAAATAAATAAATAAATAATTCAATGAAAACATTTTTAAAAAAAACTGTATCCATTTTCCATTAACCTAACTGAATCTAGAATAATTTAAAACAGCAAACAGATATATTTATATATAAATACAAATATTGCTCACTAAACAAGGAAATGTTCACTAAGTCTGGTGTCACACCAAACTTTTCTGATTGGAAGCAGGAAAACATGAGCCATAATAAGAAAAAAAAATCAGCCGAAACCGGTTTGGCTCAGTGGATAGAGCGTCGGCCTGCGGACTGAAAGGTCCCGGGTTCGATTCCGGTCAAGGTCATGTACCTGGGTTGCGGGCACATCCCCAGTGGGAGATGTGCAGGAGGCAGCTGATCGATGTTTCTCTCTCATCGATGTTTCTAACTCTCTATCTCTCTCCCTTCCTCTCTGTAAAAAATCAATAAAATATATTTTAAAAAAAAAAGAAAGAAAGAAAGAAAAAATCAGTCAATCTTCCTGGCCATGAAATTTCACAGATGATGGACTTTGTAGACAAGGACTTTAAAAATTCACATTCCATTTGCTCAGATGAGTGACTGAACATGATTCTTGCAAAGTAGGGACCCCAAAATCAAACAGACAAAAACAAAAACAAAACAAAAAAACAACAACAACAAAATAAACCCTCCACCCACCTCCGCAGGTAGAAAGGAAAACTACAATATCTGAGATAAAATTACACTTAATGGGATTGACAGCATGTGAATCACTGCAAAGGGGATTAGTGAATTGAGGACATGGAAAAGAGACTCTAGAGCAGAGGTTCTCAAACTTTTTAAACAGGGGGCCAGTTCACTGTCCCTCAGACCGTTGGAGGGCTGGACTATAGTTTAAAAAAAAACTATGAACAAATTCCTATGCACACAGCGGCGGCAAAAACACCCGGCGGGCCGGATAAATGTTTTCGGCGAGCTGCATGTGGCCCATGGCCATAGTTTGAGGAACCCTGCTCTAGAGTCTAGACAAGAGATAAAACCATTGACAAAACAAGACATTGAAATCTCCAACACAAGCATCACTGTGCTGCAGGACAACGTCAAGGATCCTAATGTGCATGTAATTGCAGGCTTTTAAAATATATATATATATTATTGATTTTATTACTGGAGTTCGACCAGGGGGCGGGGCCTGCCAGGGGAAGGTGGGCAGTACCTGGCCTGCAGCTGCTGGGGCCTCTAGTGAATAAATAATAACACAAGAATAAACTCCATGTTCCACACACTCACAGCTGTGACCTGCTTTCTCCCCGCCCCGTGGATTTTCTGGGTCAGGAACAACGGAGCCCGTGACAGAGCCGAGGGAATCCAGCCCGCCGTGGGGTGGCCCTACCTTCCTACGGGGAGGTCACAGTGCGGATGGCAGGGGGATCCTAGGGCGTCCACCCATGGCCGCGTGGGACACGGGCGAGGACAACGTCCAGGCCGGCTGGGATGAGGGGATCCCGTTACTGCTCTTCTCGGGGACCACGGGCAGAGCTGCAGGTTTGTCATTCTCCCTCAACCCCTTCTTTTTTTTTTTTAAATAAGTTTTTATTGATCTCAGAGAGGAAGGTGGAGGGAGAGAGATAGAAACATCAATGATGAGAGAGAAACATTGACTGGCTGCCTCTTGTGTCCCAAAACAGCAGTGCCCAATAAATCAAGGTCACCTGAGAGGCAGATGAGCAATTTCTCTGCCTCAGGCCATGGGATTCTGGCCTCTCCTACCCCAGCATCACCACTGTCCCCACAGGCTCCTCCCAGCCCCCCAGGACCACCCTGTGGTGAGTCCTCACCAGAGAGGAGGCCTGAGGGTTGTCCACAAGCCCAGATAGGAGGCCAGGGTACTGGGTCAGGGGTCAGAACTGTCTCTTTTTTTAAAAAATACGTTTTTATTGACTTCAGAAAAAGTAGGTAGAGGAAGAGAGAGATAGAAACATCAATGATGAGGGAATTACTAATTGGCAGCCTCCTGCACACCCCATAATGGGGATTGACCCCCTACCTGGGCATGGGCCCTGACCTGGAATCAAAACAGGACTCCCTGGTTCATGGGTCAGTGCGCAAAGATTGGGCCACACCAGCCGGACAGAACTTTCTAAATGGACAGCACAGGGCGCTCTGGGAACCTGGCTCAGGCCTGTGCATGGAGCCCTGGCACAGCCTCCTCCACTGAGCCCTGTGCTGCTCAGCAGGGAGACACCCCTGAGGCCCAGGAGGAAGGAAGTGGATTTGCATGAGGCCCCGCCCACCAAGGGGTGAGAAGCCTTGAAGACCACACCCCAGCTGAGGGCTCAGAGCAGAGCCTGGAGCCTCACCATGGCCTGGACCCTCCTGCTCCCCCTCCTCACACTCTGCACAGGTGCTGCCCCCAGGCTCAGGCCCTGAAACCAGGGAGCAGCCTGGCCATGACCTTCAGCTCAGCCCAAGGGACGCTGCGGGGTGTGGGCCTCTGGTTCTGAGAGCCTCATGCCGACAATCTCCTCTCCTCTCCTCTCCTCTCCTCTCCTCTCTTACAGGTCCTGTGGCCTCTTCAGAAGTGACTCAGCCCCCAGCAGTGTCTGTGGCCCTGGGACAGACGACCACGATCACCTGCCAGGGAGATCCCCTAAGAAAATATTATCCAAGCTGGTACCAGCAGAAGCCCGGCCAGGTCCCTGTGCTGGTCATTTATAGTGACACAAACAGAACCTCAACGATCCCTGAGCGATTCTCTACTTCATGGTCAGTGGACACGGACACCTTGACCATCAACGGGCCCAGGCCCAGGACGAGGCCGACTATTACTGTTTGGCAACAGATGACAATGTTCATGATCACAGTGACACAGGCGGATGGGGAAGTGGGACAGAA